ATGCACCTGCAGTCTGAAATGGTGCAAGCTCATTCTGTCCTGGGACCCTGGGACCTCATTATTGCTTCATTTTCCTGCATGTATGAACCCAGCCTTAGTTACAGCAGAAACTTATTTATGTTGAAAAATACAAAAATGAACCCCCAATTTTTAAATCCCATTGCTTAAAAATGTGGCCTTCTAGTTGCACATACATAAATTTTGTCTTCAGACTGATCAGTTTGGCAGTGTATGCATATAGCAGGTTGTATTAAAACAACCATGTAACATAATACAAACAAGGTGGTATGATTTGGTCTTTGGTTATACTGAGTAAGATTATTTATGTACTAACAGCATTACTGAAAGTGAAAATATTTGTACTTAGTAAACTAAGTTCTAAGTTAAGCTATGTGTGTTTTACTGCTTGCTGTTCGATATTGTTGCTGAGATCCTGGGAGGGGCATAAATAGGACCTACTTAGCAACTACTTTTTCTAGTGTAGCATAGAAAAGTTAATCTTTTGTAAAAAATTTCTTTATTTTTCTCATCTATTTAAAGGCTTCTGAAAACCTTCTCAAACAACATTACATCGATCTGAAAGATAGGCCATTCTATTCAGGTTTGGTTAAATATATGAATTCTGGACCTGTAGTGGCCATGGTAAGTATTGTTAGTTGAATTTAGCCACTTACTCCATAAATCTTTCTAGACCCAATGTTTCAGCTCTTCGTGGGAAGGAGAGAAGAGACCTGACTCAAAAAAGGCTGTAATCATTTATTGGTTCTGTAACAAATATATTTATCCCTTTCATGTCTGCCCTAGCAGCCCTTCACTTTTAAGAGAACAGAAGGAATTGTAGTAGATTTGTGGTATTGTAGATTTGTGGCTAGAGTTGTGGATAGATCTGTTTTTTCTTTAATGTGTAAGGCACATGGATAACTGTTGCTTTGTTTTTTGCTAGGCTTTATAATCACTTAAGCTGTAACCTCAAAAGTCACGCACTGGGCCTAGAGCTACCTAAACCTTGGGGGGACTATGGCGCTTTGACTAGGGACCAGTTTAAATGCTCTCAGTTCAGTTGCTGGAATAGCAGTAGTGGGAAAAGTGAATAAGTATTTGAACCTAGATATTGTAAATAGCTTTATTAGCCAAGTGCATTTCATGGCTTGTAAACTGTCAAGGTGGAAATTTATCTTTAACGTCTGTCTGATTCATGCCCAGTTTTGCATTGTTTTACTGTTGGTATGTTTTAGCTATTTGAGGACTTTCCATGTTTAGAAAGAAAGTGTCAGACTCTTGAACAAACTTGATCTCAACAACACCCTCTTGGCAGTGATTTGTTTATGGAGAGATAAAGATGTATCAAGCTAAGACCATCTTGTGTCAGAACTGACTCCTTTGGCACCAGTTCTGGTATTATACATGATTCAAACAAGCCCCCCCCCAGTGACCCATCAATCCATTCAGCCCGCCTAAACCTAGTGCGCTCCGTTAGCCCTCCTCCCCCACCTGCGAACCTACAGTTACATTATGTATAACAGGCCAGCTAGCAGAGACAGGCATCCAAGGTCATTTTGCATACTTCCAGCTTCTGGAGATCCCTTAAGAAAACAGTTGCAAAGCAGCTAAATGAAACTGGTTCCCACACACACACTCTCTCACCATCTGCTCCCCCAATGCCCCAAATTCAGAATCTAAATGGTGTGGTTACAGGCAGTGAAGATAGAACATACAAAACCCATAGCAAATGAGGCCCCGAGTTTGACATTCTGCCTCCCAGAAGACCCCTCACCCCCCTGGCTTGTGCAGGTGGCATTTATGAAAGGTACTAACTAGCTTGGGGGCCCCTAACATGGTCACTTCTCACGCATTCATTATGACTAGGGTCAAAGTCTCGCCACTTAATGAGAGAGTACAGGTGGCCATGTTTGATTTGAGAGTCTAAGACCTCTTCCACCTCCTGGTGGAGTCCCCCATTCATGTTCAGGGGAGGGGAAGCTGCAGGACGAGGGCTCCACATTGAGGGTCCCGGATTCTTCTTCAGCAGACTGAAATGGAAAATGGTGGATGTGCCATAAATTCTTTGGTAACTCCAGCTCAACAGCTACTTTGTTAATGGCTCTTACAACTTTAAAAGGGCTTACATATTTCCATCCCAGTTTTTTCCCAGGCTGCAACCCCCTAAGGTTCTTGGTAGAAATGTATACAGAGTCCCCAGGGTGCAGGTCCCACTCAGGTGCCCGGCCCTTGTCAGCTTGTGCCTTGTAATCCTCCTTTGCCGTGGCCAGATTCTGTTGGATTAGGGACCATTGCTGAGTTAAATCAGCCCACCAGGTTTGTAAGTCTTTTGGCTCTGTTGCCACTGTGGGCAGCCCCCCCCCCCTCATATCCATGCACCACTTTGAAAGGGGTGGCCTCTGAGGAACTATGAATAGAGTTGTTATAACTGTATTCCGCATAAGGGAGCAAATCCAACCAATTACCTTGTGGATAGTTAATGAAACATCTCAAATACTGTTCCAGAATCTGATTAGTTCTTTCCGTTTGGCCATCAGTCTCTACTGAGTTTTTGTTCCACCCCCAGCAATTTTAACAGTTCCTTCCAGAAGCCCACCACGAATTGTGGGCCCTGGTTGGATATGATCTTCCGAGGTTCCGAATGCAGTCTCACAATGTGCTGCATGAATAGGTGGCGCCAGTTTTTTTGCTGACGGCAGTTTGCTTACAAAGAATAAAATGTGCTTGTTTTGAGAAAAGGTCCACAACCACCCAAATCACAGTTCTCCCCTTGCTAGGTGGTAGGTCAGTTATAAAGTCCATAGAAATGACAGACTACAGCAGTGATGACGAACCTTTTAGAGACTTGAGTGCCAAAACTGCGACCCAAAACCCACTTATTTATCGCAAAGTGCCAACACTTTGCATTAGAAACAGGAAACCAGCCAGGGAGGCAGTGGGGCCCTTGGACGACCAAGGGGTAAAGGGAGTATTGAAGGATGATAGGGAAATGGCTGAGAAGCTAAATGCATTTTTTGCCTCCATCTTCACTGTGGAAGATGAGAAGTGCTTGCCCACTCCAGAACCACTGATTTCAGGAGGGGTGTTGAAAGACTTGAGTCAGATTGAGGTGACGAGAGAGGAGGTCCTAAAACTGATAGACAACTTAAAAACTGAAAAATCACCAGGCCCAGATGGCATACATCCGAGAGTTCTGAAAGAACTCAAATGTGAACTTGTAGATCTCCTGACAAAGATATGTAATCTTTCCTTAAAATCTGCCTCCATTCCTGAGGATTGGAAGGTAGCTAATGTCACTCCCATCTTTAAAAAGGGTTCCAGAGGAGATCCGGGAAATTACAGGCCAGTCAGTCTGACGTCGATACCGGGTAAATTGGTGGAAACCATTATTAAGGAAAGAATTAGTAGGCACATAGATGAACAAAACCTATTGAGGCAGACTCAGCACGGTTTCTGTAAGGGAAGATCTTGTCTCACTAACCTATTAGTGTTCTTTGAGGGGGTGAACAAACATGTGGACAAGGGGGATCCAATAGATATTATTTACCTTGACTTCCAGAAAGCTTTTGATAAAGTTCCTCATCAAAGGCTCCTAAGTAAGCTCAAAAATCATGGGATAGAAGGACAAGTCCTTTTATGGATCAAAAACTGGCTAGTTCATAGAAAACAGAGAGTGAGTGTAGGTGGGCAATTTTCTCAGTGGAGGGTGGTAAGCAGTGGGGTACCGCAGGGATCAGTACTTGGTCCACTGCTTTTTAACTTGTTCATTAATGATTTGGAGATGGGAGTAAGCAGTGAAGTGGCTAAATTTGCGGATGATACAAAGTTGTTCAGGGTGGTGAAAACCAGTGAGGATTGTGAGGCACTCCAAGGGGATCTGTCAAGGATGGGCGAGTGGGCGTCAACATGGCAAATGGGGTTCAATGTGGCCAAGTGCAAGGTGATGCACATTGGAGCCAAAAATCCTAAATATAAATACACATTGATGGGGTCTGAACTGGCAGAGACTGAGCAAGAGAGAGATCTTGGAGTTGTAGTGGATAACTCACTGAAAATGTCGAGACAGTGTGTGACTGCAATAAAGAAGGCCAATGCTATGCTGGGGATTATTAGGAAGGGTATTGAAAACAGATCAGCCAATATAATAATGCCCCTATATAGGACGTCCTTCTTCACCCAAAGAGTGATTAACACTTGGAATTCACTGCCACAGGAAGTGGTGGGTGCTACAAGCATGGATGGCTTCAAAAGGGAATTAGATAAGCATATGGAGCAGAGGTCCATCAGTGGCTATTAGCCACAAGGTATAGCTAGGGGCTCTGGGGCAAGTGATGCTCTGTCTTCTTGGTGCTTGGGGGGGTCAACAGTGGGAGGGCTTCTAATGTCCTGGCCCCACTGCTGGACCTCCTGATGGCACTGGTATTTCTGGCCACTGTGTGACACAGAGTGTTGGACTGGATGGGCCTTTGGCCTGATCCAACATTGGCGTCTCTTATGTTCTTATGTTCTTAACACGGCAATTTAACCTGAATACTGAGGTTTTACTTTAGAAAAAAATAACTCATACGTTAACTTAAGATGATCCAAACAAAGTAAGGAAAGCAATCCCAAATGCTTTCATTTACTTAAAATTATTTGGCAGAGAATTCGACACTTTAATGAGGGTCTGGGCCTGGCTGGGGCTATGGCACGCATGCCCACAGAGAGGGTCTGGGCCTGGCTGGGGCTATGGCACGCATGCCCACCCGTGCCATAGGTTCGCCACCACTGGACTACAGCCTCTCGGGGGCTTCCAAACATTGCAATAAACCTGAGGGCTTCCCAGCCCGTCGTTTCCCCATTAAGCATACTTGGCAAGAAGACACGTTTTGGGAAATATCAGCCCACATGCACGGCCACCAGAACTGTCTTTGTATGAGGTGCAAAGTCTTTAGGTATCCAAAATGCCCAGCCAGTTTGTTGTCATGCCCCAATTGCAAAACATCCCCTGCAAGACCTTAGGCATGAACAGCTTCTGTTGGCGGTACCAGCATCCGCTCTCCCCCCTGAGTGAGGGTGCCCTCTTTCTCCACTTCCTCCTCATCACTATCACTGAAAGCGGCTTTGAACTTTTCCACCCAGGGTTTTGTATTGAGGGGCCTCTCTGCCTTGGCCTGGCTTCATGTGGGAACTGCCCACCCCCCCCCCCAGCTGGGAGGGGGTGAACATTTGAGTCAATGACGTCCTCCCGCTGACTGGCATGCTGGGGGAGGCATGAGAGCGCATCAGCAGAAAACTGGACTTCCCTGGGAGGTGCTTGAGTGTAAACTGGAACTTGGAGAAAAATTTAGGTGCCTGGGAGTACGCAACGCCTCCAAGTTCTTATGGTTGGTCCATACCTCGAATGGCACCCTGGCTCCTTCCAACCAATGCCTCCAAGTGGTTAGAGCTAGTTTAATTGCAGCTGCTTCTTTATCCCAAACCACCCAGTTCCTCTCTGACTCAGATTTCCCCCACACACACACACACACATATACGCCAGGGGGTGCAAATTCCTATCCTCCCCTCTTTGCAATATATCCCCCCCATTGCCACAATATAGCCCCCCCCCCGTGACCCATTCATTCAGCCAGCCTGAGCCTAGTGTGCTCCCGTTAGCCCTCCTCCCACACCTGTGAACCTACAGGCCGGCTAGCAGAGACAGGCATCTAAGGTCATTTCACATACTTCCCAGCTTCTGGAGGCCCCTTAAGAAAACAGTTGCAAAGCAGCAAAGGAAGCAGTTTCCCACACACTCGTGTGTGGGGGAAGGCAGTGCGATTCCCATGTTACTTAAAACAAAATGGACCAACTGTATAAATGTGCAGTGTTTTGGAAGATAAAAACATAGCACTGATTAGAAATCTTGGTCTCTAATTCTGTGAAAGATAAATGTCTAATTAGTGCTTCCATTGTTCCTCATTAGTTCTGCAGTTTTCACAATTAAAACTGTAAATGGAGTAATTGGTGCCTTGGTTGGTTTAAAAGTCATATCTTTGTGCTCTTGAGAGTTTGTGTTCTTCTTGGATTCATTTTAATGAGCTGTTTTCAAGATTTAGGTTTTTATTTTGTAAGAATAGCCCTTCTAATTTTACTGAGAACATCTAAAATTACTTTTCAGAGTCTAAGCACCCATGGAGGTTTTGATAACATTCAGAACTCTGGTAAAGGGGTCCTCAGCTTCCAAAGCTTCAGTCAGTTCACTGTAGATTTTCTGTCCCTTGTATTGATTGCTTCAGAGAGCAGGGATGGGTTCTTGTCTGTCAATGCTGGAGTTAATACATGATATACTGGCAACTGCATATGAACATGAAACTACTGCTTAATATGTTTGATTTTTTTTGATGATGTTCTGTCTTTAGGTCCCCAACACCTTTCCTATGTTAAATTATGATGAGCCATATATATTAAACCATTTTATTGCTGTAGGTTTGGGAAGGCCTCAATGTTGTAAAGACTGGCAGAGTAATGTTGGGGGAAACTAACCCTGCAGATTCAAAGCCTGGTACAATCCGTGGTGACTTCTGTATTCAAGTGGGCAGGTTGGTACAAGAACATCTTTTCAAGTATTCAGAAGGGTTTGCAGGTTGCTGCTCTTGAAAATACTATATTTTAAACCCTTTAGAAAAAAATGTGCAGAATAGAAATTTCATGATATAAAACTGGGACATATGTAAAGCAGAACATAATGCTTTTATATTACAGGATGGGTTTAACTCACATGTTCAATGTTGCTCTAGTCAAAATGATTGCAGAGATCTGCTGACAACTGTTATTTTTTTTTAGATTTGATTTTTAAAAATGCTATACAATTTTGGGCAGAGCCACTATGTTAATTAATTGAATGAGATGAGTCCATTTTGTGTATATGTGTGCATGTGAGAAATCCCTGTGGTACTTTTAAGGTTTGATTGAATCTTATGGGGTGTTTAGACTTATAGAAACTTAATTTCCTAATTGTGTAGACTATTGGTTCCAGATTTGTATCTTAAAGAAGTTATGAAATCTGTTTAAGACTCAATTTCATTTTTTTTGAAGGAACATCATTCATGGCAGTGACTCCGTAGAGAGTGCTCAGAAAGAGATTAACCTGTGGTTCAAGCCTGAAGAACTTGTGAGCTTCAAGTGTTGTGCTCATGACTGGATTTATGAATAGATATTTCAATGAGTTGTGCCTTTTTCTAACAAAGCATCTCGGTCCACTCAAGTATTTGAGCTAGGACAATTATCATGGTTATCTTCCATTATTGCCAGTAACAAATAAACTATCATGAACTGCTATGGCTTCTTTTCTGTATTTGAGCTGTTTTAAAGAAACAAAGGTAATATGTGAACAAGCGCCCATACAGCTTTTAGCAATGTCGACTTATAAACAAATACACTTGTAAAGTAAAATCTTAGTGCAGCTTTTTGTACCTTAGTCAGATGAGGTGTATGATAGTAATCTAGCTTTGAGGATCCTGAAGGAACTTCCAACTGAGAAACTATTTGGCTTTCTCTTTCAACAGAGAAATACCCCTTCACACTCAAAGCTCGTGCTTAGTAGTGTGAAAGATCAAAGCTTTAAAGATGGATTAATGTTGATTTCAAGTGGAAATTGTACATCAGGCTTGATGGAGGGGGGAGGAAGCTGGTATGCCTGCATAGAGGTATACTACTGAAGAATTGGTTGTCTTCAATTCCACAATCTGAGGGTGAGTTCTAATCTAGGATTAGGGTTTCAGATAACTCATCTACCATTTAAAAGTTATATTCCTAATAGGAAGAGAGTGCATTATTCATAACTATATGTCATGTGATTACTGGTCTTGATTATTTGACAGTTCTTTCCAAGCTGCTTTAGCTGCGGGTGATGACTTTAGTTTTGGCCTAAACCTATGATTTATGGTAGTAAACAGGCAAAAATGTACAGATCTGTTAACCACTGGTACTATAAGAGCGGAATAGGTCTGGCTTGCCATTATACCACACAAGAATACATTAAATCAGAACAGCAATTTTTCACATTACCTTCCCACTTGAGTGTTAGCTGGGATAGTATTACCACCCCACCCCTTCCCCACCCCCAAGTGTGAGGGTTCTTTGCTAAGGTATGTCAGTTTTCTAAACCATGCTTTGCCTCTGCATCTTCTTCTACTCCCTTGATAATTTTCTCTATGATGATGAACCAAACACTTTAATTCCAAGGCTGTAAACTATAAGGATACTTTCTAAATATTAACTCCTATCAACTGCAGTAGAGCTTTGCTTCCAAGTGAACATGCCTCCTAAGCAGCTGTCATGGATTGATTTCTCAAAATAAATTTCTTTAGAATGATGCAAAGTGTTCTGAAGATTTAAGTCTCTATAGGGGCTTTCTTTGGAAAGACAACAATCTCAAATGTTTAAAAAGCACTCCTAAATGGTTTCTGCAGGCTAGCATCAATGTTAAGATTATTTTGCAGTGGATTACTGTTAAACTCTGCTAAAACTGAATTTGGGTTTTTTGCTCTTTTTTCACTTTCTCTTAAGTCCAGGCTTGTGCCAGTTTATGCCACTTTCAGATGATCAGCATATACAAATTCTGACACTATAAAATTTAGATTATTTTCTGTAGTACTGTAGTTTTCTTGATCTTCCTATTTCTACATGTAACCTTTTCTACCTTTGTCTTAAATGCTGCCGCCTGTTTATTTTCTGTTTATTGTCCAGAATGTTACTCCTTAATGCTGCTTCTCTGCCTCATCTTCACTTAAATTTATACATATTTTCAAATAACTCTCTTAATCCCCTTTATTTATTTATTGAACTTTTACCCCGCCCTCCCCACCAAGGCAGGCTCAGGGCGGCTTCCACAAAACTGCTAAACAGTATACATTTTATAATTGATAAAATGAAGTAAATGATTTAAAAACACAGACAAATCAATTTAAAACATCACTTCGATGGTGATAAAAATAAAGTACAATTTAAGGACACATTCAGCAGTGCTGCCGCGCTAAGTCATGTTGGATCGGAGTTCACACAGGGCACTGCTGGCAAGACGCTACTCCTAACGGAATGCCTGCCTAAAAGGCTCTGTTTTCACGGCCATGCGGAACTGACAGGTCCCACAGGGCCCTGAGCTCGGCAGGAAGCTCGTTCCAATAGGACGGAGCTACAAACGAGAAAGCCCTGGTCCTAGTTGCCATCAACCTGACTTCCTTTGGGCCAGGGAGGTCCAGGCAGTTTTGGGATCCTGATCGCAGTGCTCTCTGAGGAACATGCGAGGAAAGGCGGTCCCTGACCATAAAGGGCTTTAAAGGTCAAAACCAGTACCTTGAAATGAATCCGGAATGCTATTGGCAGCCAGTGCAGAGTCTTAAGCACAGGCTGGATGTGCTCCCACCTGGGGAGACCCATCAGCCCCCTGGCCACTGCATTCTGCACCAGCTGCAGCTTCCGGAGTTGCATCAAGGGCAGCCCCATGTAGAGAAGATTGCAGTAGTCCAACCTCGAGGTGACCATAGCATGGATCACTGCAGCCAGATCATGCCTAATCAGCTGAAGATGGTAAAAAGCTGCCTTGGCAGCAGTTGCTACCTGGGCCTCCATTGTTAAGGAAGCATCCAGGAGCACTCCCAAGCTCCTGACCCTCGGAGCTGGTACCAACGGCGCCCCACCGAAGGCCGGGAGTGGGATCCCTACCCCCATACCGCTCCAATTCAGGCACAGGACCTCTGTCTTCGTCAGATTCAATTTCAATCGACTCAGTCTAAGCCATCCAGCCACGTCTTGCAACGCCCGGTCCAGATCTTTCGGGGTAGAGTCAGACTGACCGCCCAACATCAGAAGTGTACAGAACTTCTGCTTGTCCCCCTTTAGATTCTCTGTATTCCCATCCAATGCATTGTGTTTTTCTTAAGCATTAATCACAATTGTGCCTTTTCATTTGTTTTAAAGGCGGCTCATGGGAAACGAAGGCTGCGGTCACACGGCCAGGAAAATGCGGGGGGGAAGCGTGGCTGTTTGCCCCGGGGAACATTAAAGCGCGGTTGCACGATCAGACCTCCTGTGGAGGTCCTATGGAGGTTCCGTGGAGGTCCCGTGGTTAAGGGGAGGTGCGGATCACACGGCAAAGAAGCGGGGCCTTGGGGCAAAGAAGCGGGGGCTGCGTGCCGAGGGAAGGCGATGAGGGGGCTGCCAGAGACAGCCGGCCAAGCGGCGCTGGGGAGAGGAGGGGCCAGCTGCCGACTGGGCGGTGTGGCCTTGTGTCGGGCACGGCGTTTTCCCCACCAGTGAGGCAGGCAGGGGGTGGGCAGTAGGTCCGGAAGGACAACAGTCCGGGGAGCCGGCTGGTGGGGCACGCAAAGAGGGCAAAGCAACATGGCCCTGCCTCCTCCGCTCCGACTGCCCCTTCCCCAAGCAGACTTCCTACTCTGCCACCGCGCCCCCCCTCTTCTGGGCTTCATCTTCTGCCTTGCCCCCTTTCCCCCACCTATCTGTCGCTCGCCTCAAGCCATGCGCTCGTTGGTGCTTTCTTCTGGCTGCTCTCCTCTTCTCTGCACGACGTACGTTGTGTGTTTGTTTATTAAACTAACGTTTGCGCATGCTCCGTTTGGTGCTTGTGCGCAATCGTGGAGACTTGGAGAACAAAACCTTTTAGCTAGGGGACATGGGCAGGCGCTGGAACTTCCTCCGGAAATGCGATCATACGCCCGCCCTTGCCCTGCGGCTTCCGGAAACTAGTACCTCCAAGGTACTAGTTTTTTACTCCGCGTTTTTGGCGTTCAGCCACGGGTTACCGACGGGAGCTCTACACTTGCCAAATGTTGCCCTGTGATCGTGCCAGGAAACTCCGCCTCTCTTCCGTCTCTGAAGCGTGGCTTATGCTCCGTGTGACCGCAGCCTTAATTGAGTTTTGTTTCATAATTAACAGAACTTGGTCCAATGAAATCATTTTATACTGAAAGTCAAAGATACTGCCTCCCTTTTAAAATACCTATATTTAAAAATGTCTCAGTGTATTAGAAAGAAGTACAACCAAGGGCTTTCCATTCTGTTCCTTCACGCTATCATTCTCCTTCCCCAGTCATTGTGAGGCAGTATTCTCTGAGTCCTGCTACTGGCTAAACAAGTGCAGGAGAAAGATAGGTGAAAGGATCAGTAGAACAATACAGGTCCTTAATTCATTGCCTTGAAGCAGTTTTGCCACATTTATATTATTTTCATTTATAGTTCACCTTTCTTGCTGGGATTCAAGGCAGATTTGATAGACGGTTCAGTCAATTAACAAGCAGATTACAAATATGGTAATATTTAACCATAACAGCAATTCCTAGTAAAACAACATAATGCAGTAGGGCTGGGATTGAGGAACTAGAAGGGGGGGAAAAGCACACTATTCCCAATAGAGGTTACATCCCCAGCGGATCCATTACACACTACAGTTTTTGGAAAACGAGAATGGAGGGGGCACCACAAAGAATGCTGGAGAACAGGCAGTTGTTCCATTTACCTGTTGGCATAGTGGTACCTTTAGAAGATTTTGCTCAAGAACAGTTGCAATGGAACGTGGCAGAAAAGGTGGTCCTGCAGATACGTGGGTCTAGTGCCATTAAAGGATTTGAAGGTGATAGAAACTTGAGTAAAGCTGAGTGCAGGGTGGGAGTGATATGCTGATTTTGCTTAGCGCCCAACAGTAGTTGGGCTGTGCTTGACTTTCAAGTAATACAGGGTGGCACAGATGGGTGCTCCCATTTTATCTTCTAAACAACCATGCAATCCTGTGGAGCTTTATTTATAAATCGTATTGAACTTCGTGGTCCACCATAGAGGATTACACTTGCAGCTCAGGAGACAGTGACATACCTACAAACCTTAAAGGGAGCTTGACTTGTGTCCAGATGACAGAACAACCACATTTGATTCACTGTCCAACACTAATAGAGGTATAATTTACCAAATTGACTGAAGTACAAAAAAATGAAAGCATCTTTATGCAGTTATTTCCAATGGTTTCAATACACTTTGAGGAAAAAATCTTGCTATGGCAGATGTGCGTATTCTGCCTCAACCACCTGCAGCTCCTGTACATCCTCCGCAAAATGCAAGTGAAACACTACAGAAGAAATACATTCCTGAACTGTATTCCTGAAGACACTCAAGCCACCTGTTTTTACTTTTAACATTTTTTATTTTGTGTAAAAAAGGCAAATTTAGTGAATTATTTTCATCTTGTACACAAAGTTATAATTTTTAATGCTTTTTCACATCCATGCTCGAAAATCTGCAGTCTGGTAAAAATGAAAGTAACATTAATTTCTTCAAAAGCATTTTTCACTGAGTTATGTACATTTCATTAGAAGTTTTAAAATGCTCCCATTTGACCACGTTACCAAGAAAATAAAACATTGAATTTATACAGATATTGATCTATATATCAAATACATACAGAATGATGTAAAAACCCTATTCAGTTTTTTTTAAAAAAACTTCTGCCTGGATAAAGTTTTCCTGGGGCAAAAGTTGTTGGTTTTTTCTTTCTTTTTTTTTTAATAAATGGCTGAGACTGTACTTAAATATGAAAATTAAAAAGAAACAAATTTCAATTAATCACAGTTTAATCCCTTTCCAATAAAGGATTGTTACCAAATATATTAGCACCATAATACAAATATGGATGGGAGAAGATGTTCACATCACATAAAAATGACAACAATAAAAACAAACACACACTGAAACCCGTGTTAGTATCAATAGAACAAGAAACTGATAACTGCTTTTGCTTTACTCAGCTTCAGTAAGGATATTTTAAAAGAAACTTAAAAAGCATCAGCTAAGATTCTGAGCAGTGAAAAGAAGGAGCACTTGTGACACAATTTACCTTGTCTGCAGTGCCCTCCATAGAAAATCCTGCCACGTGCCAACTACTGAAATTTGCTAACCATTAGCATCAGTACAGGCCTCAAACCCCTGACCAACATGCCCTACCCCTATCCCAAATTGTTTCCGTAAATCAGTTCACAGTAAAAATAAAATAATGTTCTTAAAGCTACATTATACCAAAATGCATGCATACCAAAAGCAATTAAAGCTGCACAAAAAAAGCTTACTGTCTCCCAGTCACCTGCTGTGTTATGAGGCCACAAATAAATGTGCAGAAATCAAGAAAGTAACAAAAAGAAAAGATTCCTATTCAATTAATGTGGGACAGAACCAATCAAGATAGTTGCATGGCATGGCATTTAAATCAGAAGTTTAAAAATAGGTGAGAGGTTCCCAAATTTAAATTTCAACTATATGCACATATTTCTCAGGACATGAAATCCTGCCCACAGAAAGAAACGGAGGGTGGGGGGAGATCAGCAGTGTCAGCAATATGACATAATACTATACTCTCCTCCCACTGCTGGGACCATCTTCCTTTAAATATGCAGATCTATTTCCAGAAACCTGAGGACTAGCAACAGTGCACTAATCAAGGTTAGCATCCCGCAGCATGATTTAAGGTATGACCTGGTCCAGCAGGCTATTTTGAATGTTTCAGGTTCACTTTCTAGGCTGATGTGGTAGGGGATTGAGGCTGGCTATGGATTTTCCAGCAGCTGCCATGTTCAACAGAGGTAGAAGTAGGGTTGCCATCTGTTTTCCTGACAAACGTTATGTGCTTCAAAAGAACAGAAATTGAACAGGTGATGCTTCCGAGTATAAATGTGCAGTGATAACAATTGTTGAATTTCTGTCTACTGTGTAGCTACTAAAACGATACAAAGCATGTCAGGAAAAAGGTGGCAACTCCAGCTGGGTGTATTGGTTCAAGCTCAATTTCAGATTTTATGTCCATACAAGAATCTTTATACACAAATTCAAGCTTACACTGTAACTTTAATTTCCTTATGATAAAATATACTCCTGTTCCACAAGTGCAGCAGAATGTGGTGGTGGAATCATGAGGTGACTGAATGGAGGTGGGAATCACATTTTTAAAGTTCCCTCTTGTAAAAATTCCCTGGGGGGACAGGGGACCCTCGCATATCATGGAGAAAGGCTCTATCCTAGCCCTTTCCCCATGTTGTGCTAGTTTTCCACTTACACGGAACTATGAATGTAGAGACTTTTAAAAGTGTACGCACAACCTATTCTACTACCTCATTCTGCTGCCTGGGTAGTCCAGGTGTACTACAGGCCTTGTTCTGGATCTCTTTTTCACATTAAGCAGTATTATGCATACAAGTGGTCCCTACTGAAATCATAAGAAATATAAAGCATTACTCTAAGTCCTTCAGAGTCTGACTACATGAGTTCACTGTAATCTTGATTTTCTGCTAGTCCTCCATAGTTTATTATCTTGATTATGTATGGCCCAGATTGACAGAGCCTTGCCACCAAATGGGAAAAACAGTAGATGACTACCATGTCTTGGTCACAAGTTCCTCAGGACTTTGTGTCTGTTAGATCATTCTGTCCCAAAAGCTGGACAGTCAGGTGACATGGGTTATCATTGTTTGGGGAGGCACTGGCTTTAAAGAAATAAATGAAAAGTAACACTATATTACTAGAAGAAAAAAGAGAAGAAAGAGATAGTTACACTGTTTTGACGAGGACTTTTGAAATTAATATTGTCTATGATCCAGTGAACTTCTTTATGTCTGCACACAATACAGCTTTCTGTTTCTCCCTTCCAGAAAGCGGCCCTCCTGTGTTGCTTATGAGCCATTCTGTAAATGGGAGAAGTTTAAAACACAACTGGAACTTTTAAGGATGAGGTGGGGGTAGCATGCTGCTCAGAAAAAGACCCAGCTAGACCCAGAGGTTCCCCTCAGTTCTCTGGATCATGACCATAATCATTATAGGACATAAAGTATCGAATTACTGCCTAAATTCACAGGCGTCTGATACCAAAAATCAGTTTTTAAAATATGTATACATGAAGGAGTCGTCAAAAATGGCCCAACTATATGAAAAAAATTACTAGAAACTGTTCTCATACATTCCTATACTATACAGAAAAAATGTACTTCCAGTAGTTACTACAAAATTTTACACCATTATCCCCTCTTGCATAGAATGTGGTAAACCTTTGCATATCAACAATGGTATATACCCAACAGAGCAAGATAATTAAGAAAATAATCAAATTGCTGGTTTTCAACTTTCTGTGTGTTTTTAAAAATTCAAAAACAATGACATGCCAAAAAAACTATATCTGGGGCTTTTGTGGGTTGCTAGTCATAGGCTTGAACGTTGCAGGGGTTAATCAAAAGAATTAATTCCTTCTAAATCCTACTCTAAAAAATTGGACAAGTTATACTGCTCTAAATAGGACCTGCTATGACCCAGAAGCACTTTATAGAACACAAGCAGTTAATTCCTGAGAGTTTAGTTAATGAACCTTACTGGTAAAAGCAAAACTCTTGACGCACATCATCCTGTCACAACACCGCAGAGTGGAGATTTCAGCATGTTCAATTCCACGACTAAAGCCATCTGCTGATATCCAGATTTAACTCTCTGCAAAAAGATTCTAGGTAATTCAGCATTCTTGCATTTTTGCTACACCAGTCACAACCAGCTATTGAAAAAGATGTTGATTTCAAACTATCAGCAGCCAAGCCAAAGAAAACAGGATGCCTAAACACAATCTTCAGGCAAACCAGGTTAATTCACTTCAAGCTAAAAGCTGTTCCACACAGGTGAGAAAGCAAAATGCTAGCTCCCAAAGTAGACTTGCACCTTCCCATGCTGCATTTCTCACTTCATCTGTGTCTTTCAGTAAGACGAAACGCCAAACTGCAGCTGTTTCTGCATAAAAGGGCCTTTCAAGTATAGTATATCACCCTTTCCTTGCACAAGACAAAACTCCCAAACTGATTGCCATTCTAAAATCATTCAATTGAAATCCCTTGACACTTTGCTGATCATTTGCTTGAATATACCAAGAATTCAAAATGCAAACCAGAATGCAGCTATATCTAGTCCACCATTCACTGACCTCAACAGAGACTGGACTAGAACATGATTTAATAGAATCTCAAGTAGATAACAAGCATGTTGTCACTTTTTTGAAAAAATACTCTTCCATTCAGACTCCATTCCAACTTATCTGGTGTATGTTTTCACCACCCTAAGATTTTAATTGCAAGATCTGACAATGGAAAGGACAGATTATATGAATTGTGTAGCTTTAAAATTCAGAATCTCCTAGCTTGTACAAGAAGGTTCACTTATTATGACAGTTCACTTGCATTTTCAGCTATACTACCAACCTCCAAGGGTTTTCTGCAATCCTGCTCATTAAGCTTTTAATTCTTACCCAAAAAATTAGACTTTCGTTTTTGAACAACGCACAATAAATCTGAACTTGAAAATATTACAAAAATTCTTTCAAAAGCTTCAAATACAACACAAAAGTGTCATTTTTTGTAATAAATTGAAAACTCTTTTTTCACTAAAATAGTTTCCTTGCCCTCCAAAAATTCTCAGTTGAAATCTTATCTCCAATTAGCAAAGTGCCCTTAGTAGAAGCTGTCCAACTGTATCCTCAGAATGGGAATGTCAGTCTTGCAGAAAGGCTCTTTTTATACAGGCTTCAAAGAGTGCCTTTTAGGGTTCTTGCTTGATGTAGTGGCTGGCAGATCCATTGCTTTCCTGATCAGATGCTCCTTGAAGAAAGCTGTATTCTTCTCCATCTAGTAACTCCTCCTTCAGCTGCAGTGAAGATACTAAACATGGAAAAAGAGGTTAAAAATTGATTCAGTGAATATATGAAGACACTGGGAACATTTCTTTGCAGTTAATTTTATGTGAAGTGACCAACAACACTCAAACTTTTGATGCTACATTTGCAAGCAGCAAAGCGTAAGCCCCAAATCTGATGCTGGAAAACTAAAATTTAAATTCAGTATGCATACTGAAAACCTCCCAGAGTTTAGTTATTTATTTATTTCTTGGACTTATCTCCCGCCCTCCCCGCAGACGGGCTCAGGGCGGCTCACATAAGTTGGCACCATATGCCAAGTCACAATAAAATGTATAAAACAGTTAAAATTGTATGTTGGTGGGCTGAAATTAAAAATATGACCTGGGGGGGGGGGGAAAGATGTACATAGGGATACTGTAAGGATTTTAATGTAATTTCCATCCAGTAATTTTAGAGAGATTTACTTTGCACTGTCAACAGAATCCTCATCATCATGATCCACAGTGTCTCATGGGAATCTTTGAGGAGAAACATTCTAACTCTAATGACAGAAAAGAATGAAACATGCAAGTGGCTAAGGAGGGGATTCATTCGATCAAAGAATGGGACTGAAAGCTGGGTTCAAAACAAAGAAAATCCCACTGATGGATTACCCTTGGCAAAGAGGTCCAATACACTGGATCAACCTAGTTACACTATCATCATTTACTGTTTCAATAGCACTTATCAAAAAGTAAAGTGCTTTACAATCATACTATTTGTTCTCACATCCCCTTCCCCAAAATCATTCATTCACCACTACTCATGTGGTACAGACTGGGAAAATGCTGACAGTTATTTGCCACCAAACCACACAATGAGTTCTTACCAGAAGTAGGACTTTGAACCTAGATTGTATTTGAGTCCAAATTCAACACTCCTTGTAAAATTACACATTGATTCTCATGACTGATAGTCAAAGATTATAGTTGTGGGCCAAGGTAGGGAGGAAGCAATTTATCCTTTATTATTGCTCTTATATTGCTTAGTAAAAACTTTAAACCACAGGAAGCAGTGATTTCTTCCCTCATGTACTGTCACTGTAGAACTGCCAGCAAAATAAACAGGGCCGTTATCCAAGTGAAGACATTTTAGTTGATTAATTATATCTCTATTAAATCTTCTTAAATTACTTGAGTTGATTCCCATGGATCCATTCTATCTGTGGAGGTGTCTTCCCCCAGCACAAAGAATCCTTCCTGATGCAAGAGCCTGATATATGAGGGCAAAGCTCCTTCCACCACAGGAAAGCTCCCCCATGAATGGAAAGATTACCACCTATCAGAGTAGATACTACTTTAGTAAACTCTGTCTCATATACTGGAAACAATGGCTCTACTAATGTGGCACCCACCCCCAATTTTACTGTTACAATACCATCTACCTCAGTACATAAAAGCATTGTAACTACAAACAAAAACAGGGTTGCACTTACCTATAACGGCTGTTTCACCAAGGTGTCTTCTGTGCAAACACACACTGGGACTCCATCCAAGCAAGCCTGCCATGGAAGATTCATTTCCAAGATAAAAAAGTTATCTAGAGGGCGTCCTTCCCCCTTTGAGCCCTTGTGAGCCATCCTTCCCGCCCAAATGGTCACACGATCCTGAGTTGCCACGACAAAATCTAAACTGAGAACTCACAGTGGGGCAGGCAGGGGGAGGGGAATGTGTGCCTGCACAGAAGACAACTCAGTGAACAACGGTTACAGGTAGGTGCAACCTCATTTTCATCTTTGGTCTTCTGTGCAGTCCCCCATTGCTACTATCTAGGACATGGAGTGAAGTTCTCACCTTATATATATTACTGGAACAGCAAGTACAGGACAGCCTTGCCAACTTCAGATTCTTTTCTTGCCTGCCGGTCCAGTGCACAATGCTTCACAAATGCATCCGTGGACAAGTTGGTGGCAGATCTGCAGATTTCAAGCAGGTTGCATGAGCACGAACTTGCAAAGGAGACAACACCCCTGCCTGTTCGTAACAGAGTTTTATTGCTGATACAATTCATCTTGACAATGATTGCAAGGACACTTGCTTCCCTTTATTACATCCAACATATGAAATAAAGAAGATAACCCATTTTCTTAATGGTCATGTTCTCTTGAGGTAGAACAGTAATGCCCGCTTGACATCTAGGGTGTGCAGTACATGTTCAGGGAAAGGAGGGATAGGGGAAAAACACAGGCAGCTCAATATCCTGTAAAAACAGGTTGCTTACCTGTAACTAATGGTCTTCGAGTGGTCATCTGTGCATTCACACCTCTGGGATATAGTGCGCCTGGGCCGACCCCAATCAGTAAAATAGAAAGCAAAAGGGATTTTCGCACCCTTTCCACAGTCACGTGCCAGGCTCCAGTGTGCATGACTAGGGAGGGGCACAACAATCCCCCTATTTCCTTCTGACCGCTGCCATCAGTCTCAGAGCAAAAAAAAGACAAGAGGACCGAAAGCAGCGGGGAAGGAGGGCGGGTGGTGTGAATGCACAGATGACCACTCGAAGATCATCAGTTACAGGTAAGCAACCTGTTTATCTTCTTCGTGGTCTCTGTGCATCACACCTCTGGGAGATTAACAAGCAATATATGCCTACCTGGAGAAGGGAACTGAAGGTCCTAGACATGCACCACCTGCAACACAGCTTGTCCCACCGCAGAGTGCTGATGAAGATGTACATCCAAGGCGTAATGCTTCACGAACGTGTGAGGAGAGGTCCAGGTTGCTGCGTTGCAGATATCACAGAGCGATGCACCTCTCAGGAAGGCCGTGGACATTGCTATGGCCGGAGTGGAGTGGGCCTGAAGCGGTCCCAGGAGCGGCTTATTGGCCAGTAGATAGCACAGGTTAATTGTCTCCACAATCCACTTGGACAGTCGCTGAGATGACAACTTCTTTCCCTGTATGGGCAGGGCATGGGAGACAAACAGGGCTGGGGACTTTCTAAAAGGCCATGTCCTGTCCAGGTAAGAAAACCGGAAGAACCATGTCAGCACGCAGGTGGAACTCCGAAACAACCTTGGAAAGAAAGGTGACGTCTGGGGCCAAGATAACGCCATTGTGGTGAAAACTCAGGTAGGGTGGGTCACAGCAAAGCACAGACAGCTCACTTACTCTCCAGGCTGACCAGGAAGTCCATCTTCCATGACAGGAGTTGCAAACTACATGTAGCCATGGGCTCGAAAGGCTTGTCCATCAGTTTAGACAGCACCAAAGGTAAGTCCCAGGCTGGTGTAGGGCCCCGAGACAGGGGGAAAAGGTGATTGAGGCCCCTAAGGAACTGTTTGGTCTGCGGGTGGGAAAAAACAGAGTAACCATCCACCGCAGGGTGATTAGCGGAAATGGCGGCTAAATAAATGCGCAACAAGGCACAAGTAAGGCCTAAATCTAAACGGGACAACAAGAGACCAAAAATTGCAACCAAGTCCAAAGGGGGGTCTAGGCAACCCCAACAAGCTAAGGTAAGCTAACAACTTCTTCCATTTCCCATCACAGGAAATACGTGTAGAAGGCTTACAACAGTTCAACAAGATGTGGTCTATCCTGTTCTTAATCCGCTCTACAGGATCATCCACGCTGTGAGCTTGAGATATGGCACATCGTGATGCAGCACCTGACCCTTCTGCGCAAGGAGGAGATCTGGCACCGCTGGAAAGTGAATGAAGGAGCCCTTGGACATGTGAAGCAGAGTGGTGAAGCAGAGTGGGGAACCAGTGCTGATGGGGCCACCATGGGGTCACAAGGATGCACCGCGGCTGTTCCTTCATTATCTTGTTGATCACCTTGGTGAGAAGAGGGATCGGTGGGAAGAGAAACATGTGCCTGTGGGACCATGCTTAGAGAAGTCCGTCTCCCAGGGATAGGGGGTCCCTCCCTGCTCTAGAGCAGAACAGGTAACATTTCACATTCCGACGTGTTGCAAATGCGTCTACTTCTGGTTGGCCCTATCTGTCAAAAATCGGGTGGAGATATATCCAATTGAGTTCCCACTCGTGCAACGATGTTCCTCCTCTGCTCAGGAAGTCCGCCTGCAATTTAGGGACCCGGGCAGATGGGCTATCAGGAAGACACCCCACAGTTGGCATTCATTCCAAATCTCAAGGGCCAGTTGACACAGGCCCTGTCCCACCTTGACAGTTGAGGTAACACAGAGCCGTGGTGTTGTCTGTTAAGACTGCTATTGTGTGATGGGCCACCAGGTGGCGAAAAGACCTGAGAGCATACTGGGTGGCTAACAGTTCCAAAAAGTTGATATGTTTGTGGGCCACATGAGCCTCCCACCTGGAGCCCACACACATCCCCTTGGGATGCGCTCCTCATCCCCAAAGTGACACATAAGTGGTGAATGTCAAGGATGGGGCGGGTGGGTGAAACGGAGCACTCACCAGTCCAACGAGTCCACCACCTGTGCAGGGAGGATGAATCTCTGGGACTGGGGCTGAGCTTGTGGGTGGATCCTCCTGAGGAACCACAGCTAAAGCAGCCTCATGTGAAGCCGGGCAAAAACTAGTACTGCTGTAGTGGCAGACATCAGTCCAAGGAGGCATTGGATTTGCCTCGCAGATCCTTTGCTGACATAAGAGGCTTATGAGAGAAGTGATGTTGTCCGCTCATTTGGGGGGAAGAAATGCCCTGCAGACCCTCGAGTCTAGGATTGTCCCAATGAACTGGACCTGCAATGAAGGGGTGAGCATAGATTTTTTGAAGTTCACTCTTAGCCCTAATGCCTCTGGGGTGCCTAGAGTCAGATATACGTGGCTTAGCAAGATGGCTTCTGAATCTGCTACCAGCAACCAATCATCGATGTACAAAAAATTCATACACTGCGCAGACGAAGGTGGACAGCGATGACTACCATCATCTTCGTAAAAACTCGGGGGGGGGGCGTAGATAGCCCGAAAGGGCCTTGTATTGGAAATGTCCCTCCCCTACAGCAAAACGCAGAAACAGCCTGTGAGCCAGATGGATCGTCATGTGGAAATACGCG